GCGATTCCGGAGACGCGGTATAAGTACTTGACGCATCACCGCGTAGTCATCCTCATGGTCCTTGGGGCATCGGTGCTAGTTGGACTTGCCGGTCTTGAAGGCGGCGGTGGTTCCAGGGTACTTGACAAATGCACGTGGTCGCACCCGAGTCGTCGTACACTTGACGGGTCCGGAAAAGGAACTTGGTGACCAAGGGTGTTGCAGTTGCAGTCTTCACATCAACGAGAACAGGCAGCGAAGGAGGAAGCTCGAGCAGGGAAGTGGAGCACAGCAGGCGGCCGGAGATGGCAGATCGTCAGCAGGCAGAGGGCCGACGGGAGGAGGCAGCTGAGGTGGATGTCCATGGCAACGGAAGGAGAGGCAAAAGGTTGGACAGTGCAGCAGCGGGCGAGGGGCTCCGGGACGGCATGGAGGTCGAGGAAGAAGAGCTCGAGGTGGCGCTGGAGCATGGTGGCGCGGCGGCCGGACAAAGCAGGGAGGCTCGATGGAGGTCGTCGGCGCGGAGAGGTCGCAGGCGAGGTGCGGGCGTAGCAGAGGAGACGAGGCAGCGCTGGGCCGAGGCTTGGGCGGAGCTCCTCGGGCAAGGAGGAAGAACCGCAGAGCGGGGTCGCGAGGAACGCAGGGGTGCACGGGCGTCGGGGCTCCTCCCTTGTGCTATGCCTGCGAGAGCTCGCGCCTCCTGCAAGCTGCAGCACAAGGAAGCAGGGAGAGGACCCTGGGCGCGGGTGAGGAGACGGACGGCGACCGGTGCAGCGCTACGACGACCGCAAGGGGCGGCGCTGGTCGAGGGGAAAAGAGAGGCCGACGCAGGGTTCTTGCATGCGGGGTCGGACAAGAGGAGAGAGGAGATCGATGGGGATCGGGTCGAGGGGAGAGGGAGTCGGGCTGCGGGTCTCCCTCTGACGGCGCGAGGGGAGAGATGGAGCGAAAGGGAAACGGGCTAGGGTTAGCGCTAGGGTTGGTGGGTGCGGCTGGGCCTTGGGCCAGCACAGGAGGTAGGGAGGCCCAGGCTGCTGGGCTAGGCTGAACTCCTTTCTCTCATTTCTAAAACAGAAAAAAAACAAAGAAGAGAAGAAAAAGGAAGGAGGTGATAGGGGAAGAAGTTGGACATGCGGATAATTTCCTTGGACTTACAAAAATGTGAGGAATTTAAATAAAATGGCAAGAGGGTTTTTGGAGAACAATAGATTCGCATATGTTGAATTTAATTCAACATGTTTGGATTTTGAAACCCATTCGAAAGGACTCTAAAAGGGATGAGATTTTTAGAGGAGCCTCGATAAAAGAGATGAGAAATATTGGCAAGGTTTGAAGGTCAAACTCGAAAAGGAATAGACATGGAAAATATTTTCCACGTGTGTTATGGGTGATTCCGAAAATGAAATATTTAATATAGCTCCATAAATATTAGGAGGATAATGTTATAAAGAGAAGTCACTCTTCCCTCGGTTTAAATGGATCGAAGATCCATACGGTTTATTTATTTGAGTTGCAAAGATTAAAGACATGATGGCATGATGACATGATGCAATGCATAAATGCAAAGATGAATGCAATAAACCAACAACTCACACGACGAAACCCGGAAACCCTGGAAGGCATCTGAAGCTCCAGTCTTGGGGCGTTACATCACCGCTCCTTTCTTGACCGTCGGTCTGAAACTTGAAGAAATTTCACCGTTGCTTGTAGTCATCCCGAATCAAATTCGTAGTTTTCTCGCCACATGTATGACCACCAGAGCCCTGGCCCGTCTCCATGTCCCGCGCGTACCGCACGCCTCGCTGCTACTACCGCGTCGAGCCTCCGCTGCCCCGGTCGAGTCTCAAGGGTCGTGAACCCACACCACTCAACCCCCACTGCAGAGTATCACCGATCATCACCGACCGATGGCGAGTTTCACGCTTCCATCAGACCACTGAGCTCCAGCCCAAATTACGTGTCCCTCGCTTTTTTCCCCGCTAAAATAGGCTTTGATTCTCTGGATCCTTACACCGTAGCTCCTCAATCCAGCTCCACCTTCAATATGACTCCATAGTAGATGATCAGTTCACCCTCACGCCCCGTCGTCTTCAAGCTTCGTGTGTACACCACCTTGAATCAACCACGCGCCATAGTCTTGTTGAAGCCACACAAGCCCTCGGGCCTATGCCACGTGTTTCCACGCCCCAGAAGTCGGTCACCATCAGCATCACGCTCCTATGTCATCGTCGCCGATCCCATCACCGTCTTCTGTACCAACCGACTTGCGTCGATCCGTCAGACTATCTAGTCCGACCCAGCCGAACTTGTTCGACTGCAACGACATGCTCTAGGCTCCCAAATCGTCTTTCGCGAATTTCCATCCATCACATGATAATTCCATATTAGCTAACATGACTTCCAGCAACACCTTCAAGCATCCATGTTGTGCCAATAAATCTTTCATCCGTGTCTGCCATAACCCAAGGTTTTCAGTTCCACGAACTTCTCCACCTCAAACCAGATACCGTTGGTGCCATAGTTCTTTGTACGACTGATTGTGAAAAATACCCGAGCTGTCCCACTACGCCGAAGTACACGAGCAAACCCAGCGTGGTTGCCTCGACCAGAAAAAAAAACTTGGCCTTCACGTGATCTGCTCCCTTGGCTCAACTCCTCGATGCTAGCAATTGCCTTGTCAACCCCTCCTGCTAATTTCGATGGATCCATATGCCTTGATAGATGTCTTTCGCCAATTGATTTACCTGCCAATCTCTGTCATATATGGACTCGGTCCACTTTTGGTCCAAACAAATCTCACTACAGCATCAACGTTGTACGTGTTCCCGAGCAGCCTAGCTTGGCAGTCGCGCCTCCACGCGCTCGCGCTTCCAACGCGGGCTAGCATCGCTAGCACTCCACGCTCCAAGCCTGCCGCCCCAGCACGCACCTCGCACAGGGCTCGGCCAGCCACGCGCTCCTTCCAGGCGGCTTCCAAGCGCCGAGCCAAGCGCCGCTGCCGAGCCATCTGATCTGATTCTGACCGCAACTCGCCCAGACTGCTGTTTGCCTGACTTCTTCCCATCGATCTCAACCGCGCAACACATATTGTATTACGACAACTTCTGTGTAGACGATACCGATCTAGAAAATTAACCCTTCCTCTAAATCAACATGATCCGCAGCTTCCGAACAACCTTGCTCATGATACCACTTGTTAGAATAAATCTGAGGCATACCGTCGATCATTCGAGGACCAAGCAATCACACGAACACGACACCGAGATTTGTTAATGAGGTTCACCGATATGGCTACATCCCCGGGGCTTGACTACGGGCGCTCCTCCCCGTGACACCGTCACAATACCGCACCCGGTCGCCCTGGACACCGGCACATGCCGCCGGCTTCCCCTACGTTCCGGTGCTATTATGTTGGCATAGGTTATGTCGTGTGTCCAGCCTCGCTATATATATGAGAGGCCTATGATACAAGTGTTCTATTAGGACACAACTTCATATCCTATCTAAAGACAATACAACTACAAGTCCAACTGTAATCTACCTTGTACACAATATTCAACACAACTCTAACAATGCCGCGTCTAGAGATAAGACTGAGCGATCTATCCGGTGGTTCCACGGCGGTCGAGCAGGCGAGAGATCTCGTGCGAGTTACACATGGCGTCCACTGGGTCCCACACCACCGCCTAGGCCTACTGGTCCAGTAGTTTCTTTCTATCCTATACCCAACCACATGCGAACTCTCCTCGCCGCGTGGCTGTTCATGGGAATTAGCAACTTGAATATACACAAGCCTTCTTTTCCTTCAAAATACTGTATTTTATGCACCGGTACTGAATGTTTTAACTACCAATACCGAATAAAATAGTACCTAGGCACCGAATTAAAACGGGGTTGCTAGCAGATCATCGGTGAGAACAGACCAAGATAATTCATGAAGGGCAATGCATTGGGTATTATCGGATATTATTGCCCTTTTAAAATTGTAGTACGTACATGTTGAATGTCAAAATATTGAGTATAAACTATACTTCGCTTGCTCCTGAGAAGATAAAACCGACATAAAACAGATTATCATCCCGCAATAATTAAAGTCTAGACAATTGTGGACCTTGTTTTTCTTTTTTTTCCTCTCTACTTCCGGATAGCGCCTAGCGCTGATCATAGAGATATTATGGTGGTGTCAACTGTAATTAAAATGAGATTGCATGTTATGCATGATAATATATTTGTAGCGTCCTTGGAATGGACATACTCCCTCCGTTCGAAATTACTTGTCTCAAAAAATGAATGTATCTAGAACTAAAATATGTCTAGATACATCCATTTCTGCGACAAGTAATTCCGAACGGAGGGAGTAGAACCTAGAACCAAGATGTTGATGGACATAGAACTCTCACTAAATTTAAATACACATCAATTCTTTCTACCGTTGCAACCACGGGCGCCTAGCTATTTGCTACCATTGTCTTTTGATCAATTCTCTCAAATACTACCTTCGTCCGGGATTAAAAAGCCCTTGAGCCATGAAACCAAGACACGGTGTAGCTTTTTACAGAATTTTTACCCCGTTGCATCGCACGGGCCATTTTCCTAGTAATTATAATAATAAAACAAAGGAAGAAAAACAAAAAAATAAGTGGCACCTTGCCCCGCATATCGGCCGGCTAAAGGACGCGCATATAGGAGGTCTCCCTTAAGGGCTGGATAAGAGCATTGCACATTCCCCTCAATACAAAAAAGGAGCATTGCACGTGCTGCCAATGCTTCAAAAAATGAAACTTTTTCGCTGGAGAAACTCTACAGGTCAAGTTTTTTTTTTTTTGAGGGGTCTCTACGAGTCAAGTAGGCACGCACTTGAGCACTCCGGCCAGCCCACTATATATAACGGTACATGCATGTATGTATGCAGAGCAGGAGGACTGATTCATTTCCCTCTTCAGTTCGTCTACTGGCCAGTTAAAAAATATAGTTGGATGAAGAGTTTCAATCCAGCAGCCGTCGAGGAAGAGAGGGCGGCGATGGTGCCGCCGCCTCCTGCAGCCCGGGAAGAGATCGTCGATGATCCGCCGGCGGAGCATCAGCCGTCGTCATCACCAGCAACGAAGCCGTGCTGGAAGGCGACGACGAGCAGCCTTGTGTTTCTTGTGTTTCTTGCTTTGCTCGTCGGCACCAACTGGATCCACCACGAAGCTGTTGTAAGTGTAGTTCCTATTTTTTTTTCTTTGAGTACTGTGTACCTCCAACATACACACACACTGACACACATCAACTGCATGAATGCATGATTGTGTAGAGCCACACGAACTATTGAACCTTTCCAGAGGGCTTCGGCCATAAAGCCGGGTGATCGCCTCCTTTCGAAAATATAGGCCAGTACCCGCCTGTTCTAAGTACTTCTGATAATGAACTTATCCAATTAACAAGCCGAAATCCATGACAAGCCATCGATTAGCTAGCTATAAAAGTGCAATGATTAAATCAACTTCTATAGCTATGGGTACCGGTCTTAATTAGAACGAAGCGGTCGACCGTACTCCCTCAGTGTTATACTAAAACTGTAAATTAATTTGGATCGGAGGAAATACAAATTATATAGGTTGCATATACATTGATACATACTCCATCCGTTCCGTAATGTAGGGCACATAGATATTTTGAGAAGTCAAAGTTTATACATTTTGATCAAGTTTATGAAAAAACATATGCATCTAAAATATCAAATTCATTTTATTAGATACTCTCTCCGTCTCATAATATAAGATGTTTTTTTGACACGTCTTACATTATGGGACGGAAGGAGTACACCACAAGATATACTTTTCGCTATAAACTTGGTCAAAGTTTGTAAATTTAAATTTTTTAAAATATTTATATGCATTACATTATGAAACGGAGGGAGTATATACTAGCACGAGTTCTCGATCCATTAAGTGTAGCTTTCCCTCACCAGACAAGGATAAAAAGCTAGAAAAAGAGTACGTAGTAGTACTAGTATTTTGTATTAGCAACTGCCAGTATTTTACGTACTTAAGCCACCTTTGCGTAAATCTCTAGCATGCCTTAACCGTAATCAACCCTGTAACGGCCATCTTAAGTAAATAAACGCGTAGATTAGACTGGATTAGCTTAGTTAATCGAGCCTTCATCACGTTGGAAGTCGCATACACTTAAGTTAATTGCAGTCAATGCCTTTGGCCCCAACTTAAGATACGCACACATGCGCGTACAAGTCATGAATTAATCCTAAGTACGTTCCTTTTTCTTTTCTGGAAAGGGCTAATAATGCCATAACTATCGCAAGTCTCATAAACACACACTTAGAGAAAAAGAAAATTGCAACAAATTTTTAGGGATGTTGAAATCTTTTTTCTCCTACATCCACCGATGACGCGCTGCGAGCAAAGCTCGATACCGTCTCTGGGTCTACATCTCGACGGAGAAAATTTGTATAAATATAGGAGCTTGTAGAAGCAATGGTAGGGAAGTAATCACTGTAGTCCAGAAAAGATATGTATAACAAATCTCCGCCTTGAAGAAGAAGACACCAAAAAAAGCTTGTAGACAGTTCAAGGGTGTGGTTAGGCCTCAGTCGACTAAAACTTAATCAAGTCACACCATCTCTAAGTCAAATGATATAATATGTAAGAAAAAAACTAAAAAGCAAAATTTACACGGATCTCAATGTAAGATCTCATAAATATAGCATCGACCGAGACTTGGTTAGGCTGGTCACAATGAGAAGGAACTTAGCAGTAACATCACACACTCCCATACAACTTTGCTTATGTGCACATATTTAATGAAGAGAGAGGTGCTTGTGGTAACTAGCTAAGTTATCGGAACATCACACACTCCAAGAAACAATGAGTCTATAACTTAATAAATACATCGTTGCATGACACTACATAGATGTTTCTACCCACTATGGAGGTAGTAACATAGTCTAGGGAAGTGTGTAAGTTACTAGCGTATGTTCTTGCCCATTGTGAGCAGCCTTAAGTCTTAATTGACTGAAATTTGCATGGATCTCAGTGCAATAAAGTGTTGCTAAATCTCATTCGACCGAGACTTCATTAAGTTTTAGTCAACTCCATATTCATTAGATCATACATGCAAAATTCTCTGTTTCAACTTTTTGTTGTCTTTTTACATGTTATTATTTCACTTGATTGAGACTTGATTAAGTCTACGAGATCTAACCACACTCTAATAGATATCAAAGAATGTCATTATAGGCTTAACTTTTTTCGAGAAAACCTCCGTTTAAGAAGAATAAAAAAGATTAGGCTGAAATTCAGTGCGTATAAGATATTAACTCTTTTTTGCAACTTATAATATACCATTAACTTTCGTCTGCAGCAACAGTACTACTCGTTCCATCCGGTCATCGGCGGCGGCAGTTTCAGTCGGCATGGGCGTGCTCCTGGCCGCACCCGCTCATCGACGGCGTCCCTCGTACCCATACCCTTCAGCTGCGGCAACGACACGTCGTCCCCGTCACTCTGCCGCCGCCGCGCATCACCGCCAGCACCAGCACCATCACCATCACCATCCTCGTCATCACAGCAACAATACTCCCCGGGCGTGCCGCCACCTTGGTGCCAGGACTACTTCCGCCACATCCACACGGACATGGAGCCATGGCGAGCGACGGGGATCACGCGAGACGCGGTGGAGCGCGCCCGGCCCAATGCGGAGTTCCGGCTCGTGGTGGTCTCCGGGCGCGCCTACGTGGAGAAGTATCGCCGATCGTTTCAGACGCGGCATATCTTCACGCAGTGGGGCATCCTCCAGCTGCTCGCCCGCTACCCCGGCCGCGTGCCGGACGTCGACGTCATGTTCGGCACCGGCGACATTCCCGTGTTGCGCGCCGCCGACTACCCCGACCATTCCACCGCGCCGCCGCTCTTCCGCTACTGCAAGGACGGGACGGAGCTGGCCATCCTCTGGCCCGACTGGTCCTTCTGGGGCTGGCCTGAGGTCAACGTTCGGCCATGGGGGGGCGCTAACGGAGGACTTCGTCCGAGAGAACGGGCGTCTGTCGTGGCCAGACAGGGAGCCCTACGCGTTCTGGAAGGGCAACCCCGACGTCTCGCCGGTGCGCCGCGATCTCTTCCGGTGCAACAACGACTCCGCCGCCGGCAAGGAATGGAACGTGCGGGCGTTCAAGCAGGACTGGAAAGCCGCCCACCGCAACGGCTTCAGGGACTCCGACCTGGCGAAGCAGTGCCGGTACAGGTACAAGATCTACGTGCAGGGACGGGCGTGGTCGGTGAGCGAGAAGTACATCCTCGCCTGCGACTCGCCGATGCTGGCCATCGACACGCCCTTCGAGGACTTCTTCACCCGGGGGCTCGTCGCCGGCAAGCACTACTGGCCCATCGACCCGGCGCGCAAGTGCGCCGCCATTAAGTTCGCCGTCGACTGGGGCAACGCCCACCCGGGGCAGGCGCGGCGTATGGGCGAAGAAGGCAGCGGGTTCGCGAGGGAGGAGATGAGCATGGACTACGTATACGAGTACATGCTCCACGCGCTGACGCAGTACAGTGCGCTGCTCCGGTACAAGCCCACCGTGCCCGAGAAAGCCGTGGAGGTCTGCGTCGAGTCCATGGCCTGCCCCAGACGTGGCCGCGAGAGGGAGTTCATGATGGAGTCCAGGGAGAGGTACGTGGCCGGGCGCGAGCTGTGCACGCTGCCGCCGCCGTTCACTGCCGAGGAGGTAAGGGAAATGGCTGTCAGGGACGAGCAGGTGCGAAGCAAAATACTCCAGATGGAGGAGGGACACTAGACGGCATTCATCAATCTGATTACTTACTTCATTTAGCATGAATTGCCCCTCCCCTCTTTAACTCGTGCGTATTCCACAAGATTTAGCATGAATCGTCAAATAAAGATAAGGAACATCCAATCCAATAATGTAAAAGGAATTCAAGGACGCTCTTGATGTGAGGATTTATGAGGAGCATCCACTTGCTAAGATCGAGCAATTATCATTGGGCAGTGATAGGCGTCACTCGATCGGCCCCCAAATTTCGGCCGGTCGCTAATGAGGTTACCTACTACAGATAAGGTCAAGGATCTGTCATTTAGGGCCCATTTAGAGCCCCATACCATTGCTGGTAGGTCTTAGAACTACGCGAGCATTGGTATGCAGATAACAGAAGGTTCACTCGGACGCCTCGACAACACTCGAACATCCATTCTCCAGTCGACACGGCCACCATCATTCGGACAAGAGAGGTGAATGGACGACGTGGGAGTTGCAACGGTTAAGGGATCCTTAGTAAGTCTTAAAGTAGAGTCATAGTTACGAACATTAAGTGCCCCGGCGACGTGGGAGTAATGAAGGCTGCGGTGCACTAATATAAGCTGCACTCCTTCTCCTAGGCTAGGGGCGGGCAATCTCTGTAACCATACCCTCAAAGAAAGCAAGACTCAGGACACGAGACATAGGGCTAATGAATTTGTAAAACTACTAGCAAGATGTTCATGTGTTGCACGGAACATCAAGATGCATTTATATGAGTAGTTTATCTTGTGAGAGAAAATAATGAATGAGGAAAGGCCTTATTTGCAAATGTGGAGAGGGGGTGGCTATTTTTTAGTAAAATTGTCATAGTTTTCTTTCTATCCGTCGGATATAAATCGGACGGCCTATATTGCATGATGGGCAGGCACACCATCATTATCAATTTTGTTCTTTTTATAAGAATAGAGATAGAGATGTTGCTATCAGCATCATTGTTTGATCGACGACCTTCATAGACAATTTTGATGTTGACACTTGCAAGGCAGACAGTATTGCAAATACCTCACAGCATGTTGCAGAATCAAGGGCCGGCCTGAAGTGGGCCGTGCATGTCTGGCTCGGAACAGCAGCGGCAGGAAGGAAGGAGCACCTCACCGGCGATGCCCAGCGCGCCACGCCGCCACCCGTCTCCTCCGCCGTCTCCAAGCTCCATTCGAGATGCCACTCCCTCTCCACCATGAAGCAGCTGCACGCCCACCTCCTCCACCACCACCTCCCCTTCCCGTACAACCACTTCCTCTCCAAGCTCCTCTCCATCTCCTCGCCCTCCTCCGCCACCACCACCGCCGCCGCCGCCGCCGCCGACTACGCCCTCCTCCTGCTCACCGCGCACCCGACCCCCACCGCCTTCTCCTTCAACGTCGCCCTCCGCTTCTTCGCCGCCTCCCGCCCACGCACGTCCCTCCAGCTCTCCCTCCGCATGCTCCGCTCCGCGCTCCGCCCAGACGCCTACACGCTCCCATTCCTCCTCCTCGCCGCCGCCCAGTGCCCCGCGCCCGCCTTCGCCGTCTCGGCACATGCGCTCCTGCAGAAGCTCGGGCTACACAGCCACGACCACACCGTCCACTCCCTCATCACCATGTACTCCAACCTCGGCCGCCCCCACGCCGCCCGCAGGGTGTTCGACGGAATCCTCCGGCGGGACGTCGTGTCCTGGAACTCCATGATAAAGGCGTATCAGGCAGCGGGGATGAAGGACGACGCGTTGCGCATGTTCCATGCTATGGTCGCCGAGGGCGCGGTGGCGCCCAACGCGGTAACCGTGGCGGTCGTGCTCGCGGCGTGCAGGGACACCGGAGACCTGGCGCTTGGCAGGTGGTTGGAGGAGTGGGTGAGATCCGCGGGGATCGAGGTGGGTTCGCTCATCGGCTCGGCTCTCGTTGGGATGTACGAGAAGTGTGGAGAGATGGCGGAGGCGAGGAGAGTGTTTGATGGCATTGCTGACAAGGATAACGTCGCTTGGAATGCCTTGATCACTGGGCAAGTATAGATAGATCCACTTTGGTCCTCATTTTGAAATTATATTCTCTGATGAATGTGATCTTATCTGGCCTGCCTGATCATTTGTTTATGGTTTGTATGATGACGCAGGTACGCACAGAACGGCATGTCAAAGGAAGCCATTTCCTTATTTCACAGCATGCGGCAAGCAGGGGCACGATAACCTTGGTAGGGGTGCTCTCGGCCTGTGCTGCAGTTGGAGCTCTGGAGCTAGGCACCGAACATGACAGCTATGCCTCACAAAGAGGCTTCTACAGCAATGTCTACGTTGGGACTGCTTTAGTGGATATATACTCAAAGTGTGGAGATTTTACCAGAGCCATACAACTGTTTGAGAAAATGCCATGCAAGAATGAAGCTTCATGGAACGCCTTGATTTGTGGTCTTGCCTTTAATGGGCGAGGCCATGAAGCTATTCGGCAGTTTGAACTGATGAGGAAGGAGGAAGGGCTGCGGCCGGACGATATCACTTTCATAGGAGTACTTTCTGCTTGTGTGCATGCAGGGTTGCTGAAAGACGGTCGGCGTTGGTTCGGTTCCTTGACATCTGAGTTCCAAATCGTTCCCAAGATCGAGCACAACTCCTGCATGGTTGATTTATTGGCACGTGCCGGACATTTAGAAGAAGCATGGGATTTCATTGAGAAGATCCCTGGTAAGGCGGATGCGGTGATGTTGGGGGCTTTGCTTGCCGCTTGTCGGAAATGCAAAAATGTTGAGGTCAGTGTCAAGGTCATCAACAGGATCATGCTGCTGGAGCCCTCAAACTCGTGGAACTATGTGGTTTCATCCAAGATATATGCAAGCTCAGATAGATTGGATGACTCTGCACGGATGAGAGGGCTGATGAGGGAGAGAGGTGTCAGCAAAATTCCAGGTTGCAGCTGGATTGAGGTTAGCGGCAGAGTTCTTGAATTCTATGCAGGGGATGAACCACAGCATGGCGCGGAGGATATGTATCAAATCCTCAACATGCTTGTTGATGAGATGAGACTGGAGGGATATGTTCCAAATCTTGATCTGGTTTAACACAAAACCAGATGTAGATCAATTTCAGTATTGCAGTCTTGTTGAAATTTGCTTTCTGGATTGGTATTCATGTCAAAGAGGCTGTGGTGCTTGAAAGAAAGGAGGAGGCTGTTGTTTTTTCTCAGAGGAGCAGAAACATCAGCTGAAATGCTGAACATAAATGTTAGATGGCCAAGATGGAACATTGCTCTGCATTCCTTCTCTATGACTGGATACCAGGGTCAAATTAGGTCTATTTTGAATCACCTACCAACAGAGCTCTTTGAATTATGGCAGCACGCTAATAATGTGCAAAGATTGGCTGATTGGGCTGTGTCAACAGACGATTTCAATTCACCAATGGACTCAATTGGTTTTGTGAGCTGTCAGAATATGCTAGATAACCGCGAATATGGAAAACCATAATCTCTAAAGAGTGTCATATAAATTGCATTGTATCATTTTCTGGCTGAGCATATTCAGGACTCTAATCTAAAAGAAAAATGAATTGGCACCCACCTAATGTTGGTGTTTTCGAAAAAATAGCATTCCAGGTGGAGTGGAGATGGGATCCAGAGGAGCTACGTTCGCTCCAAGTCAGCATTCATGTAGAATTTTTTTGGGGTGAATTCTTCAGGTAAGAATGGTGTTACTGTTCTTTTTTTCTTTATTGTATGTGTAGATTGTCAACTTATCTTTTAAAGTTGTCGCAGAGGTCAGGAGCTGGACTATTCTTACTGCCAGTATCATCTTGAATCAGTGACTATGAACAATTAATTCTTCGAAGAATGGATCAAGACAGAACTCTTTCGATCAAATGCCTCTAGGGACAAACGGAAGAATGAAGGTATAATTTTGTGGGTACATCCTACACTATATGTCCGTTTCCCACTCTAACAATACTGTACAAGTGTTTTGTATTGCAAAACAGACCAAACCATCTACCACTGAACTTATGTGTACCCTACACTATTTTGCTCGTTTCCAACCATGTGTGATTCTAGAAATCGAAAGAATTCCCAAGGCAACCTTCTGGTTCACAATCTTCGAGTTGCTGTTTCAGAGAAGACTTGTGCAATGCACAACCTTCGGTACCGTGCGACATCAGCATCTTCTGTTCGCGCTATAGCCGGGTGCGGTATAGTGTCTCTGATTTGGTTGTAAATTCTGGATTCTGTATGTTGGCCTGCTTTCACACAAAGGTTATATTCTGTTGTAATATTGGGTGAGTTTATGTCAGTCGTGTGTTTCTTCACTGAATAGATTCTTATACTGCCATTTATGCCTTGTTGGTCACTTGGGGACCAGAATGTGCTCGTGATCCTTTTTCCTTGGACAATCCGGTATGTGCTCATGTCGGTATGTGCACTCATCTCATGTATGTCGGAGAAGGAGGCCGTCGACAGTCGCAAGGGGATCCAATTCCAGGAGCTCTTCGGCCCCAATGTCACGTGCCAGGTACGGTAGCCAACCAAATCTTCCTCCTATCTGTCTGCAGGAGAATTCTTCTTGACTTCAATATAGTTCATTGATGAAGCTTGTTCTGTCAGGGTGCTTGTTTGTCGTCAGGTTTCGGAGTTCGAGTCGGCCAAGCTCAACTACATTTTCGACGCTTTCCTCTTCTTCAACAGGGACGACGACGACAAGGTGACCAGGAAAGACGTCACCCAGAGGACGAACGAGGAGTCTGCCCGGGAGAGGACGCCCACCCACATCACCACATAGCTATTTGATACATCTCCAACGTATTTATAATTTTTGATTACTCCATGCTATATTATTTATTGTTTTGGACCATATTGGACTTTATTTTCCATTTTTATATTATTTTTGGGACTAACCTATTAACCGGAGGCCAGCCCAGAATTGTTGTTTTTTACCTATTTCAGTGTTTCGGAGAAACAGAATATCAAACGGAGTCCAAACGGAATGAAACCTTTGGGAACGTGATTTTCTCATCAGATAAGACC